CTTCTACGAATCTGAGTGTACATTTGTTTCATCTTTACAGATCAGTTTGTTCAAGAGCGTCAGATTCATTTTCCAGTAGTTCGCATACAATCTTCACCATAAGGTTTACCCAGGTAATAACAACAATTTAAAATGCATGACTTTTTTTCGTGAGTTTGAGGCGATTTGTATTTACAGTCAACGCGCACGTTGCTTTTTCGAGGAAATATTTAATATTCTTGATATATTTAGGCGCGTCTTGAAGAAAATTTGCCAAGTGAAATTGTCAGTGTGATTCAACTTGTGGATTTAGCAGGAAGCAAGAGCATACATGACGAGGTAAATTGATAGTTACAAATGATTTGCCTTCCTTACAAATGAGATATGTCCGGAGTTAGGCACCATTCTGGTCAGACAATACGGAAGTGTGGTTATACTCAATCGAGGATGCCTCATGCGTCGTAAACGAAAACCATGCATGGTAGACAATGGTAGACACACGTTTCGCAGGTACAGCAACAACAACAACAACGTTAGCAAGACTACCATTTTGTACTGGTTAAAACCAGAATTACACAAAGTAATTTTCATCCGAGCCCTTACTACTGATTATTGCCATGTATTCTCTCCAGTAATCGTGGCAGTGACAATAGGCCCTTTGCAGCAAGTCATTCACGCAACAAACGCAATGCTGAAGAGCAAGGAAGCACCGGCAAGACAAAATAGCAATTTCCTTTTCTCAGTGCGTCTCTTTTTCTCCAGCATGGCGGTCTTGTACCACGTGAATTGGACGACTAGCTGCAATGAGCCTATTCATAAGTGTTCAAGGTAGATTTTGTTCATCTGCAAAATGATAGTCTATGCTATAACCTTTGTTCGGACGGCACTGGCCGACCACAGATTTCGTCGGGTATGGGCCATGTCGTTCGTGGTGAAGGAACGCGTGACGAAGGTACGAAGCCCTATAAGGAACGTCTGGGAGGGAGGGTAGGGTCAGTTTTAGTTGTACATTGATCAATGACCAACTGTTATCTGCAGCTCAGTTTGACCCGTAATTGATGAATAAACTGTTTCTTTCTATGCTGCTCAAAAATCGAGATGTTTCTGTTTTAATTTTTATGTTTAAGTGTTCTGACAGCTGTTCCACTTCTGATGGCGACAAATCTCTGATGATGCTGGAGCGGGTGATGTCTACGTTAGCAAACCGCGGCTCAAACTCCTCAACGTCCGGCCCTTCCGTCCCATACAAAGACTCTGTAAGTAGAAAAACCTTCCCATTTAAAATGTGAAATGACCATCAATAAGAGATTGACAACTAACATCACAAACTTTAGTCTTTGTTAGAGCTAACAGAGGAATTATGCGATGTGTTTGGTTGATGTGTAAGATGAAGCTACCTTATTGGTGGAAAAAAGTATAATGACGTTTGAATGACTTGCGTCATGCACAGTCGTACCAGCTCGGGTCACCTGATGCCTTTCGGCTTATGAAGGTGCCCAAATTATGGTGTGTTCATTTTTTTAAGTTCCAGCCGTAATTACTGGTGTTTGATGTTATGAAGATTTCGCCTTGAACATTAAAAATGAGAGTGAAAGGGCCACAAAATCGTGCAACTTGTTTTGTAACATTCCTGCAAAACGAGTTCAATAGCGATGTTGCTTGTTGTAGGTTACGAGAAGTTATTTTTCAACATTTTTTCACGTACGTGTGTATAGGTAGCTACACTCTTGTTTTCGTGTTTTATTTTTATCACCCCAATCGCTCTCGCCGAACCCTCAAAAACGGCCCATAATCAAAACGTTTTGTTTTTTGTCTGGCGCCAGTCGAAGGCTGTATTGTTCGCAACTTGATTCAAAAGAAATCCTCAATCCTTTGTGCAGACAAAACAGAAAAGAATAGGATAACCAATGAAATAAAAACAGTTGTGTTCTTGTGTTAGGGAGGTTAAGCAACGACGACGGCAACGGCAACGGCAACGAGGACGTCTAAAAAGCAATAGGTTGAGATTGGTAAGACAACAACTTTGCACGTGCAACTCGCTTTTTTGTACGTTTCTTTGCCGTCACTCCACGACTACAACGTGAAAATGCCTAATTTCACGTTTTGTCGAGGACGTGAACACAAGACAACAACTTTCTTTTTCTTTTCCTGAACTTTGAGGCAGTCTTTTAGAATTCAACTACAAAAATATTTGCAAACATTTAACGAATTAAACGAGATGGAATAAGCGCGATTTTGTTTGAGGCAACGCGAATTCACCTTTTAAGTGACGTTTTCATAGCCGTCGCCGTCGTTGTTGCTTAAGCTCCCTATTAGGGACTTTAAGATTCAACGACGCGACGGCAAAGAAAAACGTCGCTTAAAAAGTGTATTTGCTTTCTTTCAGTCTTTATCGCAATTATTCCTACCCACTTACTTTATCACTAATGTAGGCGAACCCTCCTGGAGTTGAATTCCTAGGGACCATATCCAAGTTCAGAAAGAGAAATAGCATTTCGTTGTTCCTTGTTTACGTACTCCATAAAATGAGAAATTAGGTATTTTCACGTCGTAGTCGTGCAAAAACGGGTAAAGACATGTACAAACGAGCGTGATGCACGTGCAAAGTTGTTGTTTTGGTTGTAAAACCTATTGTTTTTATGAGGTTTTTGTCGCCGTCCGCGTCGTTGGATCTTAAAGTCCCTATGAGATCAACACGTATAACTTCGTGTCTACACTATGCCGTATAGTTTTTCGTGCCGACATGTAAAGCTATCCGGTACAATAGGAACGGCAACGGTACGGAAGTGAAACAAGTCGTACACACACATCAAACATCGCACGGAGCGGTTGGCTGAGAGAGTTTGGTGCACTTGATCTCAATTCTCACTTTTAAATATTTACTTCCGGTTCAGTGGGTTCCAGTCCTCGCTCCTACTCATTTACTTCCGCTACGCCCCGAACACATGTTTACCCTGCGAAGAAGAATGACAAACCCACCAAAATCATCGTTCTTGTGTGTGAACAACAGTCCTATTCGGTATGGTTTTTCTTGTGGGCGTAAGAGCTATCCGGTATCGGTATAGTGTAAAAATGGCGTAAATAATTGACTTTTTTTTCATTTTGTTGTAGGCGCTGACCTGGATATTGAAAGATTGTCTTGGTGGAAACTATCGAACAGTTATGCTCGCTGCTGTATCACCATCGGCTTCTTGTCACAACGAGACGCTGAACACGCTGAGATTCGCAAATCAAGCTAAAAATATAGTGAATGACCCTAAAGTAAATGAGGTAAGCTTTGATTTGAGAAAAACAAGCAAACAAATGAGCAAACAAAGGGGGAACCAAGTCTACCAATTTTGAAAAACACTTTCAAATTACTGTTTTTCACTGTCTATTTTCTAATTGCTTTTGAGTATTGCGGAACAGTCAGGGAGCATAAGCAACGACGACGGCGGCGGTTACGAGAACGTGAAAAAAGCAATAGGTTTAGATTGGCAAAACAACAACTCTGCACGTGCATAACGCTTTTTTGTACATTTCTTTGCCTTCACTGCACGACTGTGACGTTAAGTGCCTAATTTCACGTTTTTTGGAGAACATGAACACAAGAGAACGACTTTCTTTTTCTGTTCCTAAACTTCGATACAGCCTTAAGAATTTCACTCCAGAAAAATTTTCCGACATTTGACGAATTGAACGAGATGGAATAAGCGCGAAAAAGTTTGAATGAGCGCCAATTCAGTTTTTAAATGACGTTTTTTTAAGCACCCTAGGTTTTACTCTTAAAAAATCAAACTACTGCACACAAAACGTGACGCGCTGATAGCTTGGATCAATTAACGCGTGCAGAGGACACAGTCTCGCCCTCGTAAACCCGTAAAGCGAGTAAATTCAAGATTGGCTGAAACATTGTCCTGACAAAAGAAAAGGTTTACAGGCGTAGTTTGGGCTTGAGTTTAGCTAACTGCTTACCAAAACCCCCTTCTAAGCCCTTTTAAATTTGTCCAGCCGTCACACCTAAAAATAGTTTGCTGTTAATAGCGTAAGAAGGCTTGCAACCCAAACTAGAGAGCCAGTACTATACTTATGTGGGGGTCCGCTGAGTCTCTGTGCCGCGAGAAAGTCAGACTTCGTTTAAAATAACTGGCCCTAAATACCTACCCTGGAAATAACCTCTTGCTCATAGAGCGCACCTATATAATTGGTGCATGAAAATTGCCTAGTTTCTCGGCTAACGGATATGACCTCAATGCACTACGAACTCCCTGTTGACCGAGACAAGTTGCACAAACGCGCTTATAGGTATTCACCACGAGCCATAATATTATGGCTCTTGGTATTCACGGTGCTAATCAAGTAATTTGCGCTTTGTATTTTCAGGACGAAAATGTGAAATTGATCAAAGAGCTCAAGTTAGAAATACACACACTGAAAAAGAAGTTAAAGGTATGCTTTATTAATATATTTTCTCCATGATCAGGTTTTTTTTTTTTAAGCAATTGTTGTAGTAATCCGTCCATTCATAAGTGGACTGAATTTCTCTGTGTTGACAAGCCTGCTGCCTTAGTAAAATATGTCAGAGCCCCAGGCGCCATAATTAATAAATGAAAACAGAGAATTTATTGATCGATTAGTTCCGAACATTAAACTTAAATGTTCATTGAAACGAACGAAATGAAATAATAACGTATTGAATGCGTTATCGTGGCTTCCAGGATAGAACTACAGTTGAATAGTTTTTATTATTTTTATTATTATTAATTTTATTATAATTATTATTATTAAAAAGAAACTTTTGAATTTTAGAGGCTGACAATTTTTTTTATTGAAATGAAATGTCTTTAATTCGAACAAATTTTTCTTAGTTAAATTAACTCTTTCTAAGCTAAATTAAGTGCTTTTTAAATTTATTATTATTATTATTATTCTTGATCAATAACGATTTCTTAAAACATAAGCAAGCGAATATTAACGTTAAAAGCCGACGTTTCGGTATCATCATGACACCATTCTCAAGGCAAAATGAATAAGTAATGCGAAGATTTGATTTCTATTTGTAGAGACTACAGAAATCAAATCTTCGCATTACTTATTCATTTTGCCTTGAGAATGGTGTCATGATGATAACGAAACGTCGGCTTTTAACGTTAATATTCGCTTGCTTATTATTATTATTATTATTATTATTATTATTATTATTATTATTATTATTTTGCGTTATTGTCCATTTCTTTATACCCAGAGTCTATCTTTATCTTTCATCCTCTCCTTCGTGAAGTTCTTTTTGCTTTGTCTAGTTCGTGCTTCCTCACAGTCAGTTTGAACCTGGCAATTAATATTACACACCCTCTCACTGTCAATCTTAATTAATGGGACCCGCATGACTTATTTTTTGGGGATTTATAGGTGACTATTTACCCACTGGGCCTTGAAGATTCGAAATTATCATACTGAAGAAGGAGATATCTGAAGGCAAACTCGAATACGGACGTGAATTAGAGCAATCCGCCAACTCAATCTGATTTTCCAATGACATTGCAGTATTATTATGCTCGGAATACTCTAAAGTCATTTGGTCTTTGTTTCCGCTGTGTTAAATCGTGATTGCGTACGTGCTCAAATAAGCATGTCCTTAAGATGGGAAAAATGAATTCCCAGCACGAAAACCCGTTTTTACCAACCGCAAAAGTAATTCCCTGAAAACACAAATAAAAATCGATTAACCGCAAATTAAACTCCCGCAAAAATTTAACTTCACACTGTCAAGATTTAAACGTGTGTCCGGCCTCTAATCTTGATTTGGAATAAAGGTTTCTTCTATCGGAACGCTCATTATTGGTAAAGATTTTCAGGCCTTTTCAGGTTAAAAGTAATTTCCATTCTCGTCTTTATTCAGTTTTCCCTACTAAAGCGATGTTCTCTGCTGCATAGCCTCTTTAGCTTCTTCGATCTGTTTCCTAAAATTTAAATCAAGCTGAATGTTAGCTACCGAAATTTGCAGTCATTTGACCAGAAAAAACCATCGCGATTTTTAGCGATCCGACAAGACCGAAAATCACTGACACCACATAAAGACGAGAAAAAGAAGAGCGAAAAGAGTAGGCAGAGAAGAGGGGAAAAAAATGTCCGCATTCTTAGTTTTTTGGCTGCTTTTCCCGTTGGAAGTCTATTTCGCTATTGGTAAGTTGTAATTCGTCTTACGGTGAATAAATCCACGCTATACGGATTTTCTTTCGCGATTCTTAATTTTGTTATATGAAAGCATTTCAATTAAGACACTCTAATTGTTTAAGTTGAAGTTTCTAATGTGGCTTACTCTGTGGAATTTCGATGTTTATGCATTTGTTAATTGGTAATTTTGTCGATATGGGGTCATAAATCTAGGGCTAAAAGTCACCAATAGATCAACTAACTGTTGTTGTAGTCGTTTGTCATACTTAGTAGCGTATTTATCAAGATTTCACCCGTAAAGACTAAAATCCAACGATCTGTACCCGCGTTCGTAATTTGTTACGATTGTGTTTCCTTTGCTGACGTACTTGAGATAAAATTAAAAAGACTTCAAAACAATTTTCATCGAACAATAGCTTGCTGTGGGATCAAATTGGCTCCAACACTTTTTTCATATCCAATTTAATCACTGTATGAAAGAAACAGCTTCATACTCGTGTAGATAATAAAACGAAAAAACCTTTGCCTTGAAAAATACGCTGGAACCATGCGGCGTGCTGACCGCCATTCTGTCGCACTCAAACTGTGGTTGTCGCGGTGACCTTTTCAGCTTTATCTTGTTATGAAGTTTTGTTGTTAACCTCGTAAGCCGACGCAATCTTGCTGGAGTGTCGCCCCAGAACGACGTTTCCGTCACCAGCTGCTTGCTAGGGACAGGTGCTTGCTATTTTCCGTAATTCTCACAAAACAAACAGTTGCGCGGACTAAATAATGCGAAAATTTTATCGACTCCTCTGCGAAAGCCTTAAACGCGCGTAAGGTGGAGCCTTTGAACCTCGCCGTCGAAATACTGAAAAAGGACAAGTGTAGAGGATACCTTCAAACGATGACCCTGAGGCCATAAGCGGTTTATTCTACATGTTCCGGTTTTTTCGCTTCTCAGGACTACGGGTATAGTAATTAATACGACGTACATGTGTTGTCAGGCATGTTTGTTCTCTTCTTGTTTATCATGAAATTTGTGGACTTAAGGCCGCCTCTTCTGCAAATTTCACTCTTTGATCAAATTCAGTCAGTTCTTTTGTTCACCTTAGACGAATCTGGCATTGTTCGGATGTTTTGCTTTGATCTATCCCTCGAATTTACATGTACTTTCGTTTTTTGTTTACCAATTTCTTAGCGCGTTCTCTTCTTAACCTCGGCTCGAGATATCATAAACAAGTTGCACTCTGCGTTTTGTGTTCATCGTGGTCGAAATCTTTTTATTCTGATGTTTTGCTTCCTCCTTAATTACCACTCTTTTTATGCGATTGTCACCGACATTCAGCGTTCTCGTAGTCACGTGACTAATTTTGTTATCTCTCCCCATTATTCAATAACCTCATTTTCACGATGTAATTCAAATAACAAGTCGTTTGCTCAATCTTGACAGGCTTTTAACTCTAACGAGCCAGCGTGATCACTACATTCAAAGTTCGGGAAGATCGATTTGGTCAAATTCTACCTTCAGCAATGCGTATTGTTCGTATATTAGCGTCGGCAGTATTTCCACAGGTATAAAGTGTCACAAACGGCGTACGTAGTTTTTGCTTTTAGTTTTTGTTCAACATACGCATGATATCACCTCACAACGTCGTAAAGTATTTCTCATAAACCTTTCCTTCGATTTGCTGTCCAGATGCGCTCGTTTTTTCTTCCCTTTTTGTCTCCTAAAGACCTAGTTAAAAAGGACTTAAAGAGCGTTAGAAAAAAATATGCTCAGTATTTTTCCCGTAGATAAGTGCTAGTTGAACGGCAGAATGTCCTAGCTAGCCGAATGCACCTTGCATTCTCTTTTCTGTATTAATTTTCTTTTGCATTTCAGAGTGGTGATGTGTCGAATTCCTCAGAGGTCGACAAAACGGAGAGAAAGCTTCAGGAAAGTGAGGATCTCATGAAACGTTTGACAGGAATATGGGAAGACAAGTGGAGCAGAACTCAAAAACTCATCGAGGTGAAGTGTTAAAAGTCTTTTCGCAGGTTGTTTTTAGACGAACACGTTTTATTCATTTGTAAATTGTCCGCGAATTGCTTGCGCCTGCTTTACCCTATTGCTCATGTTGTGTTTTCAATTGCTAAAGGCTGTTTAATAAAGGAAAATCGAGCTTTTTTAATAGCTATTGATAAGCAGATAAAGGCTACGTCTTTGCGTCCAGTTTTTTAAATGCTTTGATGATAATACCGCGAGAGTGAATTTATCTATGAATTATCGTTTGAATTTTTTTTTTCGCCTTCTGTGTATCAAACAAAATATGTTATTTTTGCGAAGACCACGATTTTGGATAATACCGTGACGGATAGCGTTTTTCTCTTCCTTTTTCTACGTCAAGCGGACATGTAATTTGTATTGATTGAAATATTACTTTTGCCTCCGGCTAGAAGTCAATGCCGCAGAGATAGCAAAACAATTTTCAAGCACGTTCTCGACGGACTCTCGGCGCGCTTCAACGTGGGGCATTATTTTTTTATTCAATTCGGTCTTATGTATTTTTTTTGCTACGGTCAGAACTATATCTGTTATCTATTTTTTTTTTAGTAGCTTTTTCGAATCAATTATATTTCGATCGTTCGCTCGATCGTCTGTTTCCTCAGTACCCTTAAATTAAGGTTTTTTTTTCATTTTTTATGTATGACTTAAATACGTTAATTTGTCAAAATTAACTGGAAATGAACTATTTTTTGATACAAAAAGAGGACAGGATCTTTCTTAATGCGATGCCTTGCCTGACTTGAAACTGGAAATTTGCTGATATATTACAGCATTTTCGCAGCTATTTAATTTAAAGTCCATTTATAGGTCGTTTCGCTGGTTCACAATTCATTGTCTTTAGACGACGTACAGCGTTAAATGAACTCTTGGATTTGTCTTGTGGATTATCAGATTACCGTAAAGTAGCTGCCGTACTTTAATTGCTAAGATGAGACAATAAGTTGTATTTTTTTATTAACTTTATTCTGCGAGGTGCTTGGCTCCATTACTAACTAAAAAATTTTATCTTTGAGATCAAGGTTCTTGATTCAATCTTACCCATATGATATAGATATGTCCTTCTATCCCAAAACATCATCATCCATTAGTCAAGGACAGTTAGCAGTGATGAATCATGCGAATGAGATATCGCTGTCAGGCTCCTTTTGTTTTTCGGCTTGTGCTATTAGTGAAGTAGCTTAAAATGAATTCTAAACTTAACGGTTTTTATAGTCACACGGATAGTTTCTTTCACCCAAACCTTCAAAATCTAAAAAAGGCACTTTCGTTGCTCTTATTGTCACACGGATAGGTTCTTTCGCCCAAACCTTCAAAATCTAAAAAGGCACTTTTGTTGCTCTTTTATTGTTTCCTTGAAACGTTAAGTAGAGTCAAGAATCAATAGAAAGAACGAGTAACGAGTGAACCTTTTCGGCCGTTTTGAGTAGAAATAACTTGACCAATCTCAGGTATCCGAAACGTTAAATTCTATTTCTTTTCTATTACAGTACGCCTTGTAACAAAGTAGATAGGAGGCAAAAGTTACCGTTTTCAATAGCACTTTTAGTGCGTATACAGCTTCAATGTTTGATCACAAACATGACCCCCACTCCCCTCCAATTTAACTGAATCTTGCCTCGAGCGTCTGACGCAAACGACGTGAAACGTTCCTTGTTGTGATCTTATTAGTATTCAGTAAAGTTTTACACCAGTGATAAGACTAATCGTGCTGCAGCGTTGTGCCTTTCAGGCCGTTTGTTAGAACGAAGAGCCCATGGTCTCCTATTAGAATGCAAAAGCATACATGGTCTCTAAATTGAGTCTGAGGAAGAAGCAACACAAAATAACCGATTTGTTTATTCAGTCTGCGCTGAAAGTGACAGTGTCCTGGAGATTTTTTCTTTTTTGCTCAAAATGTCCTACAATTCTATTCAGTAACTTTTATGCACATAAAGCAGTTTGATTAAAATTGCCAATATAAGAAAAACGTAAAACATGAGTGTGTGGGCTCGACGTTTTCAAGATGCTATCCATTTTCACGAGGTCTTTAATTCCATAACCAAAAACATTTATGACATTTGCATTACATATGACATTTATGAATAGTTTAGCTGAAACTCTTCCTCCAAGGCGGTTTTCTTGTTCGGAGTGTCAAACTTTAGTCTTGAATGTAGTTTACATCATGGACGGTTGTATTTGAATAAGAACAGTAATAAGTCTGGTATTATACTATGGATAAACAATGTCTGATAAGAGACCACTTCAAAAATGGTTCAATCTTTCGCTGTCTTAGGTTCGCGTGTCAAATATGCGCCTTGCTTGTTGCTTACATTTCACTGAGTAGGTTGTATTTTTATTATGGCGATAAAGCCACTTCCGTAAACTGCATTTTAGTACTATTTTTTGATTTTGTCCAGCCTTTTATGTTGCGATCAAATAACTTTACTTCAAATTTGAGTCTAGTGTTAAGGGTTTTAAGAAAGCAACTTGAGCCATGTTTTAATCTTATGGCTTCTGAACAAGTTAACTCGAATTCAAACTGAGTTTTAGCTAAGATCTGTAGCTTGATTAGATGTGAGTCTACCACTGATCTATCTCGAAGCATTTCCGTTTGCGTGCCAAACATTCATCTTTCGTGCTGCTTACGTTTTTCATAGGTTGTATTTTAATAACTTTTTCTCTGACCAGATAAGTTTTCCATTATTGTTTTCCGTTTTTAGCTTTTCATCTTCCGCAAAGTACACAGTACACAATAAGCTGACTTTCAAACAGGGAAGTAAAGAAAGATAATTGTAGTTTCTGTAAACGTAAATGATATTAACACCTGCTTACACAAACTGCAAGGGATTATAAACCTTTGAGCTGCAATTTTATTTTTTCATAAGGCTCCAGTTATAGCCTTGAATTGTATTTTTATTTCACTTGCAACCTGTAAAAATGTCTCAAAAGTTTCATAATTCATAGTAGATTGGATAATCGTGAGCATGCTGAGTTTTCCGTCATAATTTGTACGGATTTCTTCGAATCTTAATTGGTACGGTGTTCTATTTTTAATGTTTTATGTAGATGATTTTTCTCTCGTTGTATCTTCCATGTTAAATATTTTCCATTCCTTTTTTCTTGGCAATTCACTTCTCGAAATGCAGAAAGTAACATTTTCAAGTTAAACGGTGGCGTCATTTCTGGTCTCCTCCTCTTTGAAGAATTTTACAAATCCCGCGCTTCCCTACACTCTTGACACTGAGGCTTTCAGAATCCGGATTTCTTTTCTTGAAGCGGACACGCTGAATTAACTTGCTCTTTGCCGTCACGTGTGTGACGATCACTATTCCCGGGATCATCATTTTGAGTCCTTATGGCCTCCTCAGCGAATCCAGAATAGGTTTGGTGGGATGCTAGGTGTGGCCTTTTTGTGGTGATACTGGTAATGCAAGCTTAAAATAGGAGCGGGAAGTGCGAATTTGAAATTTAAAATAACGAGTGCTGTTTTTTCGTTGTTGTCATAACAGAACCTTGCCTCATTGGGTCTTTTTATCCATTTTTCACCACGTTAACATTGCATTTGGTTATTTTGTAAGGCTTTTGCTTTGTGGGACTGCAGCCAGTCTCACTCATACTATCGGGATTTTCTCGCACCTCACCGTGACGTTTAGGTGATAGGTAGATGGTTTGAACAATACGCAAATGCTTTCAGCATACGCTAGATCAAAAAAAAAAGGCACAGATTTAGTGGATAGCTCCAATGATAAAATTTTAAGGATTTATCAGTGATAACACGAGCAGCGTAATATGTGGAGTTTACTATACTAATTGTAGCGTCTTGTATCTCCCTCTTCTTAAATGTTACAATATTCTCGTTTTCTTGCCGCTATTTTAAGGAGTACCAAACTGTGGAGAATGTCTCCACAGTTTTGTTTTCGACGAAGGAAAACTCTTCTTTATCTTTTGGTTGACCGCCGTTATCTTGTCATTTTAATGATTGTTAGTTTCAGATCGCATACAGTCCTATCCTACTTAGCAGGGTTTTAGGGCGGAGGGAGAAATTTCGAGGACGCGCGCGCGGATGAGGGAGAAAAAGAGAGTGGGAGGACTAACCGGTGCCAGCCACGCGGGCTAATTCAATCCCACGAAGGCGCTCCAATAACCTATGATTATAAATGATTATTTTTAGTACAGTCATTCAAGTTGCGGGTTCGTTCGTTTCTCTTCGTATATCTTTAGCAAGGTCACGTCCAAAATGTCATTGGAACAAGGCAAATATTCTAAAAGATTTGCGCGCGAGTAGATGTTACGTCGTCTATGTGTATATAGTTACGGGAGTTATCGATTTTAAAAAAAAGAGAATAAGAAAGGAGAATTAAGGCCACCGTTTATTTATTGTCTTATTTATGCGAGGGTAGAATACACTGAATATTCTTAATGACTCTTAAGCAGCTAATAACCTACAAATATGGATGATGTATTATTTTCTTATTTACGTGATAAGAAAAAGTTATTTCAGCCGTATTTCATTATAGATGATGTTGGAAATTTGTTCGTGACAAGAATGATATTTGTAAAGGAAGCAAAACAGTGCTTTTTACCTGAAGTCGACTCAACAAATATCATTTTGGCGAAAGTGGCACTTTCATAAAATAAAGCAAATTTATTTGTTCCGTTCTTTTGCCTTTGACAAACAACGAAAAGAATAATTTCCGTGAATTATGAGAGTGACAGGTAATTATTTTATTTAGTATTGCCGTCATTTTGTCAGGTTTAATATGTTGTACATATGTCAATGCGCTACAGAATTGCTGTTGTCAGTAATGTCATAAAATTCAAATGTCAGCTATTGACTTTGATTGTAACGTATTGAGTTTGTAACATACAGAGAAAATAGATGGCACTTTGATTGGGCCGGGAGATTCATAGTAATTGGCGTCAGAAATTCTTGAATCTCTTTTTTACGAAAGGAAAAGAAAATTGAAATAAGGGAAGAATCAATTATTTGTGTCAAAGAAGACAACTGACGGCAGAAAAAGTCGTCTGCTATCCTACTGGAAATCGCACTGCAAAACGCGTTTTTGGAGACAAGAGTTTGTCGTTCGATGTAATGGAAATTATTGATTCAGTTTTAGCTAAATCGAGCTCTAAGTTTGTGCTAACTTGGCGTTCAGTGTGATGAGGCTGGAAATTTTAACTCGCAGTGGAAGTCAGGTAACATTTAAAAAGTAGCCCTTCTTTTATGCTTAGTTNCACTGAATATTCTTAATGACTCTTAAGCAGCTAATAACCTACAAATATGGATGATGTATTATTTTCTTATTTACGTGATAAGAAAAAGTTATTTCAGCCGTATTTCATTATAGATGATGTTGGAAATTTGTTCGTGACAAGAATGATATTTGTAAAGGAAGCAAAACAGTGCTTTTTACCTGAAGTCGACTCAACAAATATCATTTTGGCGAAAGTGGCACTTTCATAAAATAAAGCAAATTTATTTGTTCCGTTCTTTTGCCTTTGACAAACAACGAAAAGAATAATTTCCGTGAATTATGAGAGTGACAGGTAATTATTTTATTTAGTATTGCCGTCATTTTGTCAGGTTTAATATGTTGTACATATGTCAATGTGCTACAGAATTGCTGTTGTCAGTAATGTCATAAAATTCAAATGTCAGCTATTGACTTTGATTGTAACGTATTGAGTTTGTAACATACAGAGAAAATAGATGGCACTTTGATTGGGCCGGGAGATTCATAGTAATTGGCGTCAGAAATTCTTGAATCTCTTTTTTACGAAAGGAAAAGAAAATTGAAATAAGGGAAGAATCAATTATTTGTGTCAAAGAAGACAACTGACGGCAGAAAAAGTCGTCTGCTATCCTACTGGAAATCGCACTGCAAAACGCGTTTTTGGAGACGAGTTTGTCGTTCGAGGTAATGGAAAGTATTGATTCAGTTTTAGCTAAATCGAGCTCTAAGTTCGTGCTAACTTGGCGTTCAGTGTGATGAGGCTGGAAATTTTAACTCGCAGTGGAAGTCAGGTAACATTTAAAAATTAGCCCTTCTTTTATGCTTAGTTTGCGATCGCCTCTTAATTTTGTTTCAAAAAATTTTCCGGCATTTGTCGTCTTCTTGAAGTATGATTAACGGCAAGACTTCTATTGCGTTTATAGCTCAACCATACTAGCTCAGTCGCTAACAAAGTTTCAATGACGTACCATATACTCCGTCCTTTCTGTCCTGAAAACGTAATGCTGATTTTAAGTATAGTCAGTCAAATACGCAACAAAAGCTATCAAGATAAATCCACATAGGCAAGGCTCCTTAGACATAGTGACTTAAAACTCCGTAGATTTAACTGACTTTTAATACTAAGCGTATTCTATCTCCGATCTTTTTGGGAGCCGACAACCATTTCAGACGTTATCACTCCAGTGGTCAAGCGATTTGTTACTCTATTGCTTTTGGCGTCGCTTTTCTGTGCTTGATTTTTTTCTGTCCACTTTTTTTTTAAATCAGGAGCGTGCACTAGCCGTCACAGAGCTGGGCTCGGCGCTCAAGTTCGAAACAGACGAGCCTCATTTTGTGAGTCTTGGCGGAGGAAGGCTGAGTATCGGTGTCACTCTTTGTCCTATTAAACGAGGTAAGATGCGATAGAAAGGAAATTATTAGATCGATGAAGGGTTGAGAAGGTGCAAAACAACTCACGTCAACCGGAAGCAAGGTCTTTTCCCTTTTACTGTGCCTTGACGCTGCCAAATATGTCTTTCTAAGTATCCTTACTCTTATTGAGACGAATTGCTAGAAAATTTTGCAAAAATCGTTGCCCAATAATTCAAAACGCCCACTTCCGGTTGACTTGCGTCGCTCGGAAATGTCCTTACTTGAGCTCCCTAATATCTGCATGCATGTTACCATGTGTTTAGATCCGTATAACGTGCATGCTTTCAATATTGGGCCCCTAATCACATGCATATAACCGATATTAGGTTCCTATTCTGGTCACATCTCCATGACCGATGTCAGATCCCAAATCACGCATGTTCCCGACATAAAATCCCTGATCACAGTTTTTGGTCTCTAATCACATGCTTCTTACAGAATTGATTTCTCTTATCCGGTGCATGTCACAGACAATGGGTCATTTCTGAGTTCCTAAAAACCCCCTTACAAAAAGATCAGGTGGAAATACCCTCATATAAAAATGAGGTTTATTTGCAAGCATCCTGTCGTATTGCATGAGAATAAACCCCTTCTTCATTTCGCAGCTAGCATCTTTCGAAAATTAAAGCGAGAGGCGAATTGGAGATTGCCTTTTAGGTTTCATGTGCGTGTTGCGGTTTTAACTTGCATGTTAAACAACTAGTAGATATTCGATCCCTGATAACCTTGCCTAATCACATTATTTTGTCCCTAATGACATGCATCTTACCAATATGAGGACTCTGGTCAAGTTTTAGATGATTAGGTCTCTATGGATCACGAAGGTACGGTATTAGATGTTACCAGTGGTAACTCCCTGATAACTTGCACCTTTCCTATATTAAATGATAATCACTTATCGATATTAGGTCCCCTTTCACATACATGTCTTCGATGTAAGGTGAGGATTTTCTCCGCCCAAAAGACGTGTAGTGAAATGTGTGTAAAATGGTAATACTTTCTTTTCAGGTAAAACCTTGATCGGCGTTTCAACAGACACGTGTAAACCCGACATTCAGCTAAGAGGAAAAGGAATAGAACCGTACGTTTTTGCTTACTTTACAAATAATTGCTTACTTTTCCACGCGCGTCGCGTCTCCTCGCAGGAGGCGATTCCGCCCGAACGCCTTTCCCTAGCGTGTTTCACTCGCTTCACTACTTGGCCTCATAGGATTGGCTGTGAAAACAATAAACAGAAATATAACAATGACTCTATCACTAAACCAATGGGGCTGCGTGTTACGGAGAACCAATAAAATTAGAGGATATTTAGGACCTGGGCACTATCCCCCTCTACTAAAGGAAAAGAAGAACCATTTCAAATAGCCTGAGTATCAGGTGTTCCCTCCTAAGGGGCTTGGGGAGAGGAGATTTTAGGTGGGGGAGAAGAGAATGGAAGGGCGTTTCTCTCCTTCAGCTCTCTCCCTTTTTCGCTTCCATCTTTCCCCTTTTCCCCAGAAACGCCTGATACTCAGGCTAATTTCAAATGGCTCCCATGACCACAAATGGCATTTTTGGTCAGGAGCCAAATTATGGCTCCTGCTAGTTGACTGTGTGGTAATGTTATTGTATTCGCTGTGAGCGCTTAAACGTTTCTTTCGCCGACCTTTATTGTGCCAGACTCTACAATAATGTGTTAATTCGGCATGGTTTCGCCACTGGTGGTCGGACTGTGCATACATCGTGTTTTTCTTAGGATCGTGGGGTTGACCATCCTAACGAGGAAGCAACTCTTACAGCTGCACGTCTCCATAGATCGAAGGCAGTAACCGTGGTAGTCTTAAAAGTTACAGAGATAGAAATTTAAAGAGAGCTACAGTAGCTGGGTAGAACGTGTTTCTGATTGGCTGCTTAGATGTTCTACTCGTGCTGCCATAATGAATGAGTGATTAATTGGGATCTTTTGTGAGCTGTAAAATATTAAAATGACTTGCTCGATCTGATTCAAATTGAAGCGCTAAGGAATTTGATTGTGTAGTCGGTACCATTGTCTTAAAGATCCCAGGCGTGTTTTGTAAGCCTGACGATGAGAAGCTGACACTATATGCGATGTCATTACCCTTTTATTCCCAGAAGTGGCCAAAATGAAAATTAGACAAAAATATCCAAATTTCATTTTGCTAAATCCTGAACAAGAAATAGTACCATGTGAAAGTACTGCCAAGGAGGTTTCATATGAATAGTCACACCAAAGGATTTGGTCCACAGACTCAAAAGTTAAAACTACGTACTATTAAATAGTACCATGTTAAAGTACTACAAAAGAGGTTTAATTTGAATGGTAACACAATAGAATTTCATCCACAGACTCAAAAGTTAAAACTACATACTATTAAATAGTACCATGTGAAAGTACTGCAAAAGAGGTTTAATTTGAATGGTAACAACACAAACTCAAATGTTAGAAACACCTTTCAAGACTCCATCATTAACTCTGAGGGTGAAAGAGTGAAGGGAAATTTCATAGTTTTTAAGCTACGTTCGATCATCTGATCTAAACTCACTAACCTCCCTGTTTACATTATGATCCCTGTAACTTTTACCGACGAAGTCTGATGACCGCTTAGTGCATGACACTCGAATACATAACTGCCTTTAATTAAATTTTCCATTCCAAAATTTCCCAATAAATGAATACTGAATAAATATTTAATAATTCTCCCCTAGTAGCTAGCGTTCAAATGATTTCTTACTGCAATTTATTAACAACAAATGTCATTTTTCAACAGTGAGCACTGCACAGTCGAATACAATGGCGATGCAGTTGTTCTTTACCCCAAAGCAGCCTTGTGTTCTGTGGATGGTATTCCAATCTCTGAGCCCACGAGGCTACCCCAAGGTACGTAAAATGTTTTCTTTCAAAATAAATGAAGAATGTGCTTATGGCAGGTGATTCATCTTATAAGCTAGAGTTCTCCTGTCCTTATCCCCGAGAGGGGTGGATTGCACACTACCCCATCACAGAAAATAGACGCTTCATATTAAATATCAACGCGCCAAAAATTCGCGTTAGTTTAAGGTGCGTCAATTTTCAGTGTCGGCGCTAACTTCCGTGCCATTAATTAAGTGGAGCGGTCATTTCCGCGACCTGAAAGTCGTCTTAATTTCAAATACAACAATTCAAACGAGCGTTAATTTCCCTGTAATAAGGTAAGTTGTCACCCTTCCTACCCCCGGAGAGGAAGCCTTTTCGTGTTCAAATTAGTCATTGGTTTATCGAGCAAATGACATATACTCGCGTGTGCTGTACTAGTTTGTCACGATATCCTGCAACACATCAGCCGTGGAGTTTTAAAGTAGGTAGAGCTCATTCTTGCTTGATTCCTTCTTTTTGGTTTTAAGTTATAAAATCCAAAGTTATTTGTCTCCGAACATTTTGGGTCCTTTAGACCTATGCACATTGCTTTATCATTCCTCGGTAGCTTTGTTTATATATTTACGCTTCTAATCATCCACTCCCGCCAAAAGTGTTCAAGTTAAATGTAAAAACCCATTCACTGTGCTAATTCCCTATTAACTCTATCACCAAAGAACTAGTAATATTGTTTGCAAATAACCTTAAAATCAGAATGGTGTACTGCAAAGAACCTGCTTAAATAAGTGCGTTACATTTTTATTATTCCGCACAGTTTTGATCACCACTTATGATATGTAAAATCATCCTTCATTCGAACTGGTTCAAGTATCAGTCTTTTTGTTCACGACTTGTTTCCATTTTGTTGTAAGTTACGTTTTTATTTTCAGTTTCTGTCGTTAAACTTCTCTTTGAGTGTAGGAATTAAAATTAACAACAACCCAAGAAGTAAATTTAACTTAGTAATTGCCTTTTCTGATTTTTCATGGTCAGGTCTATCGCCCACGGTCTGTAGTGTACTTGGGTTTGCTTGTAGACTACAAAACTTCTTTAAATCTACCAAAAGAGTTGAAAATATAATGCACGTTTGACTTCTGGGTTGGTCTTGCTTTTAACGTTGTTTCACAAAACCGCCTTCTGAGTAATTTGAAACTGATCTGTTTACTATGAACAGGTTTAGGCCATACTTGGCGCAAAATAGAAAAGGCATTTATTTACGCTCGTATATCAAAGTCCACTGCTTTAAACGCGGTTTAGATAATAACGACTCTAACTTCCGGTTAGTTTTCTCTGCATTTTTATCAATCGATTTTTTATTAAATTTTTTACCTTTCCATTGCTAGTAAAATTTATCATTAATTTGCTTTGTTGTCTTGGAAACTCATGTCTTTTCTTCAACTGATGTGTGCCTAAATTTAGCTCAGGCGGCGATTGATTGGTTAACGCTGTGACACGTACATGTGTTTACTTGTACTTTACGAAGAAACTGTTTTTAGACTCGTGGTTCAACACCTGTATGACAAAGGTCGTGTCATCGACAATATTGCTTGACTTTTGATCACGCTATCTTTAAGGCTGTATTGGACTTCCGTACCTCTCAGCTTTCTGCCAGTACTTTAATCAGGATCTCCTATTTGGGTTCGCGAGGAAATGTTTATGACCAACCGAACTTTCAATGGTCCCGGTTTGGTTTCAGATTATTAACTCCTGCGAAAAAAAACCTTCATTAATTAACTGAAAGAGAATGGCATAGTTTTTTTGCGTTTTTCTTTTCTTCGTAGTCGTAATGCAAAATCCTAATGGGTGACTTTTCTAAACTAAGTGACTACGAAGCTTTTTGTTTCAGTGAAAACGGTGGGAAAATTGTAAAATTTTGTCAGGTGTGTGATTTGGTACACTCGGCCTGTATGTTTTTTCGGTCAAGTATCAGTCGAGGAATTTTCAAGAATTTATTTTATGTTGTAGTTAATCCACTGAGTCTTCATCACGCGCAATGTTTTCCTATTTTTTAGGTTGCATGATTTGCCTGGGAAAATCCAACTACTTCCGGTTCAATCATCCCAGAGAAGCAAAGAGAATCAAGGAGTCAAATCCAGGCAACAGATTCTCCATTGTTCCAGATCAATACTACCCAGGTATGCCGGCCAAAAAGGACCTCGATCCGAAGAGAAACGTTTTTTTGTTAGCACGGTTTAACAGCGACACATTTAGCTATATTCATAGTTTTTCCCTGATACTTTAAACTTGTTACCCATGCCAGGTTGAATGTAAAGATTGTATATTTTTTTGAACAATCAAACATGGTATCGGCTCACGATTTAGTCACTTCTGGTGTAGTTCAGTTGCTTTCTCCTTCTCCGCAAAGGTCTCTTTGCGTCACAGGAAAACTGGGAGAGGCGAAAACAAGCGCGCGTGTGGTTCATGGGAAGGGGAAAGATGAGGAATGAAGCTCCCACCTTTTCGCTCCCTTCCCTTCGTCCCTCGCGCGCTTATTTTTTAAAATTTATTTCTATTTTACTAGAAAAGATCGTTTTCGCTCTCGTGGTCAGCGGCTATGCGAATTTCTTGGAACAAAAGAAAGCTATTTCACGAGAAAAAAGTTCAATCCTCGGCCTGATTTTTTTAGTACACTAACATTACCGCCGCGGTTTCAATGTTTTGTACACCGATATAGCCGCCGTTAATACGTCAAGTGAAATGTTCTTTACGGGAGCCTCTGCGGCGGAAATAGAATCATTTGCGACCTACATGTACATCACAAGTAACCACGTCGAGAAGCGAAAGATGAAAACCTTTTCCATTATTGTACTTCGCCTCGTTGAATTTATAACGATTTTTGCTGTAATGATTTCAATCTTTTTTCAAAGACGCTTCACTTCAATTTCGTGAACATTTGCCTTTTTCTGTCTCCAGATGTGGAGCTCGCCATTGAACAGTATAAAAAAGATAAACAAGAAAGAGAAAGACTCCAAAAAGAAAACGAACGTCTGCTGTCCCTGGAACACGAGTACAAGGAAGCTGTGGAGCGAATAGAGTTCGAAAAAACGCAACTCGAAGAGGAGCGTCGACAGTTACAAGAGATGGAAGAACAGCACAGACAAGCTGTCGAGAGCTTTGAGGAGGAGATCGCAGTGCAGATTGTAGAACTGGAAAGACAAAGAAAGGAACTTAGACACTTTGAAGAGGAGAAAGAAAAGCTCATGATTCTACAGGAAAAATATGAAGAGAATGTCAGGAAACAAGAACAGGAACGCTCAAACAAGGAGAAAAGGTGGGTGTGCTGTAAGGGTCCTATGGGTCCATTTCTCGAAAACCCCGTTAGAAAAAAAAAGCCCCTTTGACATTTCGGTCCCTTTAATTTGAAGTCATATTCTAAACAATGGTAACGCTAGCTTCTTAGGGATTTGTCACGCATTCCTCCTTTTGTGTTGGAGGAATGTATGACGAATCCCTAAGGACGTCTGCGAGGGAGGCTGGTAGCTATGGTAACGCGGGCTCTAGCCCATAAAACCAGCGCAAACTGTTCCATTAAGTTAGAGTTTTATTGTAAAATGACCCGTATTACTCTTAGATCTTTAAAGAGTCAACTCCCAGCATGAGTCGTACCTATGACCTTCTGGTTTTTACTTAAGACCAGCTGCTCTTTCACTGAACTACAGGAGACTCGTGGGTCGTAAGAGCTAAGGTCATAAACCATCAAAATTTGAATTCTCATTTGTTGCCCCTATTCATTTCCTACAGAAGTAGTTGGGAGAAGTTGATAAGATATCAGGCAAATTGTGTGATCATGTTTGTAATTCTTATGACCACTCTGTTTTACAAAGCATTGATATGACAAGGAGAATTTTGATGCTGATCACTCTTCGGGCTTAGGTGGTTGAACTCGATTCATTTGACGAGCATCCTGTATACTACTAAGTTGACTAACTATCTCTAAGGGACAGTGCCGTGGGAATTCTCCGAATATTTAGAACAAGAATTTGCTTAAATTATATTTTATTTCCTGTTTTTTACGAAGACACCGTAAATCCTCTATTAAACTCCAACCCCCCCCCACCCCCCTCGGGGGGGCTCATTTCTTTCAAGTACGGGTGAAGGGGAGATGAGGGTGGGACGTTATAGAGGGGAGGGGCTTATTTGATTATTTATGTTAGCGAGGATGCTGATATCAATTCTCCATAAAAACTAGAGCCCAGAGTGAAAAAGCTCAGGCGCATGAAGGTCATACACGGGAAGATCAAAAACAAATCCGAACTTTCAGCACGTGAATAAATCGTACCGCACGTGAAGTGTTACAGTCGTGATTGATTAAAATACAGTCTATCATTTGAGAATAAAGGGGTAGGGAAGGGGGGAGCTTAAAAGAGACGGAGGTGCTTACTCACTTTCCTCCCCTGAAAAGGGAAGCTTAAGTGAGAGGAGGGCTTAATAGAGGATTTACTGTAGATGAAGTCAATTTACATTTTTAACGAAGGATGGGACACAACAAATTTTTGCCATTTTCATCGAAGAAACTAAAGAAAATCTCGAAAATACGCGGTCGACTCTTTGAAATGTATAAATCCGTCTTTTTCATCCACGGCCTAAAACATGATTCTCACTTTTCCGGCGGTAGAGTTCATCGAAATCTCCTTTACATTTGAAGGGGTTACTAAAAATAGATACCCTGTCCTTTTTCAATTAATGTAAACGTTGCCCCATATAGAGAGTTTTCCGGACCAGAAGTGTTTTTTAGCCCCTGGATGGTGACTAATAAGTAAATAGGGATCTTTCGTGAATTTCACGAGCATGCTTTAAGCCTGTATTGGATGTCTTGACAAAACTAGAAGCAAGAATCGCCAAAGGATTCAAAAAATAAGAAATATGAGCTGGAGAATTTACTCAAAGTTTCATGTAAATGGTCATTTCGATATCTGCCCGAAATGAAATTTGTATGACTCTGATGGGTTCTTGTATGACTCGATTATGTTATTTAATCCGGATATTCTACCGATAACTTCCGCCTGTAATCTTACACGTGCCATCTTAAAATGTTTTGCTTCGTTGAATCTAGTTTACTTTATATCTGGCGCTCTTCACTTACTCATTGTATAAATTCTTTAACTGAAATGGCGAAATTTCGTTCTGAAACATTGTACTTAGCAAGGAATGTCGTAATCAGTTCCTGTGTGATCAGTCACAAGTTATTGATGACGTCAGTTCATATTGTGACTGGCACGCGATCTGGGTCAAGATTCGAGTCCAAGGTTTTACGTTGACTGTCAAACGTAATCAATTGTTTATCTAAACTTGAGGTTTATAATGAGAGTTACCTCAAACCTTTTCAGTTATTACTGAATGGGTTTATCATGCTCGAATCCGTCTTGGAAAAGGTAATTCTTGGAGCAGACATTGTTTTTTTTTTTTTTGATCGGTGCAGTTGCTTGACAAACCGGCCACAACACATTCAAGTCTTAAAATAGTGTCGAGCATCTCCATTTGAATGACCTATAATTTGGATTTGAAAATTTATAGAACTCTCAAGTAAAGTGACAAGTTTCGTGCAACAAAAGCTTTGGGAATACGCCAAGAATATGATTGCTTGAACGAGAGGGGATAATGTATAAGACTTAAAGGTTTCAAATGTAGTTTCAGAAATTTTGCAAGTAAGTCTGCTCATGGCGGTATTGTTGTTGTTTTGTAGGCGACAAGAAGAGTATGAGAGACTTAAAGCCATGAAGGCAAAACTAGAGGGAGAGGAAGGAACGGAGAAAGAGAGAGTAGCCATCGAGGAGTTAAGACAACAACTTGCCCTTCAGGAGATAAATAGCCTGGAAGAGGAAATGCTGACGTATGAACGTCAACAACTTGATAATGAGCTTATTGAAGAAGAGCGGAGGAAACTTGAGCAAATGAAAGACAGGCAAAGCGAGGTTATTAAGCAACTTGAAGACGAACTTAACGCGCAGATAAAAATACTGAAGGAGGAAAGAGAAAAGGAGAACTCAAAGATTGAAAAGGAGAAAGAGAGGATACAGTTATTGGAGCAACAACAACAAGAAGCTCTTAAAACTATTGAGCTTGAGAGAGAACGGCTTGACAAAGAAAGGGAAGAAGAAAAAGTGAGACTTCAAGAAGAACGAGAGCGATTAAACAAACTGGAGAAAGAACGCTTGGAAATGCTGGAGAACGCGGCGAGGGAACAAGAACATGAGAAACAAATGATCGAATCAGAGAAGAAAAGGCTTGTTGAACTTGAAGAACAGCACGCACAGGCCATGAAAGAAATTGAAGAGAGCATGATTTCGAAACAGGATAGGATGGAGCGCGAGCGACAAATAGAATTCGAGTTCTTCGAGACTGAGCAACTCCTTCTCGAAGAATTGGAACAGAAACAACGTGAAGCTGGCCAACAACTTGAGCGAGAAAAGGAGCTTATTCGGGAGCAGTTTGAAAAGGAACGAGAAGAGGAGCGAAGGAAGCTTGAGGAAGAGCACAGGCGAGTTCAAGAGCTGCAAGCTCAACAACAGGAGACGCTCAGGCAGGCAGAAGAGGAGCGACGCCGACTTCAAACTGAGCTAAAAAATCAGAGAGAACAGATGGCGAAGGAGAAGCAGCGCTTGATTAATCTGGAGAAGGAATATAAAAAGATCAGAAATAATGGCGCTGAGGCTCCTCCACTGTTGTCAGCGTTAAAGATACAGGATGTGTCGCAGCTTGGAAAGGGCTGCTCACTCCAGGAGCGAAAACAGCGCTTAGAACAAGAAAAGCGCAGACTGATTGAGCTAAAACGAGAAGCTGAACATCTGTGGCACGTCAAACAGCAGGAAAGTAGCGCCGAAAGCGGGAGCAGTGGCGACGAAAGAACTCAGGATAAAACAGCGCTCAAGTTACAGCGGGAGAAGGAAAAGAGAGAGAAACTAGAGCGCCAGTTGGCTGAAGTACAGCAACAAAAGAATGCAGCGGAAGATGGTGAAAAGGTGAAGGAGCTTGAAAAAGCGCTAGGAATGGAACGCACGAGAAGACAAGAGATGGAAAAAATTCTCTCTGAAAAGCAGAAGCAGGAGGAGCTGGAGAAGGTCGCCGCGGCTGAAAAAGCTCGCAAGGAAATGATGACCGAGAAGGCTATTCAGGAAAGACTCTCCACAAAGGTAAAGGTGTTCATAAGATTTTTTTGTGATTTCTTCACTCATCATTTTGGTACGTTAATAGATACCTACTACTTGCAAAAGAGAGTCTGTTGTGCTTATAACCAGTAGCTTTAATTCTTACTCTCAGACAAAGTTTCCAAATTTCATTTTATGAAATGCTGAAAAACAGTGCAAAGTGATTTCGTTAGACTGGTCATACTGTAGGATTTTCTCCACAGTTTCAAAACTTAGAACCAACTTTAAAAAATCCATCATTCACTCGGGGAATCGTGAATCTATCCCAAGTTACTGAGAGGTGTGAAATATGAGTTTGGCATTATAGAAAAACTCCAATGATGCAACACTTACACTATGAAGGCTAGAGATTGAGCATGGCTTACGAACGAGGAACGTAGCATTCAAAATAAACAGCAAACTAAACATTTTAAGATGCAGAGATGGCCATGTACCTCCCTTTAGACATGTCCGTGGTATAGCCCTACAACAATACGTTGTTCATTGGTGGAAAACATTACTTCAGGTAAATCCAGACAATGGAGATCCTCATGGTAAACTCGGCCCAAGGTTGTGCTCAAGCTAGGCTGTCTGCTAGGGAGCAGTCATCCTTTTAAAGTCAATACGACAGTAGTACCTTTTAAAAGCTTTACTACCTTTTACATATGTGGACGAAATCCCATGATGGTACGTAATAATGAAACCTCTTTTGCAGAACTTAAGCATAGTACAATATATTTCTGAGGAAATTACGAGAAGAAAATTGGAGTTGTCTGTGTTTTTAGTTTGGCCAGTTTGGTAGGGTAAGAGAACTGGAAGGGAAACATGTTTGCCCCGTATTTATTTTTAATGGGAAATCATGGTCCCCTTCAAAATAGATAGTTTAAGGTGTCATCGTTCTGGCTTATCTTCCGGGTATAAAGGGTCGGTTAACCATATTCACGGATACGGGTACAACTATTGTACCCGGGGCGGATTCTACCCACACCCCTCCAGCCCAAATGTTGCATCTTATGGTCTCTACGTTTTTTTGGTCATCCGTACTGATCAGAGTTTTTCTTCTGTTTCACGTAACGTAACGTAACGTAACAGGTCAAGAACGGCACGTCCCATCACGAAGAGGACCTCAACCTTGTGCAGCACCTTGTTGCTACTGGTCACGTGTTAGAAAACTGTCCATCAGTGCGTGTAACCGCCAGCACCTGCAAGGGCTACTTGTCGAAAATGGGTGGAAAACTTATCAAATCGTGGAAAAAGCGCTGGTTTGTACTGGATCGACAGAAGCGTGCCCTTTGCTACTACGCCGACGAGCACCAGAAAACGCCTAAAGGGATTATTTATTTCCAAGCCATTCAGGACGTCTATGTAGACTTGCCCATGTCATATAAGGGCTCTTCCTTAAGGACTACGTTTTGCGTTAAGACTCCGCAGGAAACGTATTACGTTGCCGCACCTAGTGGACTGGCAATGAGTATCTGGATTGATGCTATTCTCACGGGTAGGGAGGGGGCTGATTTTAACAACTGAAAAGCATACTACTTCTGTTCCTTGTGGGGTATAGATAGTCGCGAATGGCTAAGTTATGTATGTACATAAGTTTTTGGTATTGGTTTTGTTCTGTGTTCAAATCTGTTGTGTTGCGTTACCGTCACGTCTATCGTGAGGTAGTGTTGAGAGCCTATTGTGTGGTGTTACTGGCACGTCTCTTGTGTTGCGTTACTGTCACGTCTACCGTGTCGTAGTGTTGCGGAATCTGTTGCATTGTACTGTTCTATTCAATCGGTCCTTTTGACAAGTTCATTGTGTTGTTTTTGTCCAATTCATTGTCTTGTTGTCCTGTGTCCATATGTACGAGTTAATCGAATTGACTCATTTTTGGCTGACCTGTTTTTGTAAACCATTTTTACAGAAATGTCCACAAAACGTTTTCGGGTTTATGAAAGTTTGTGTCTTAAAAAGCAAAGGCGTCTGAAAAATGTTGCAATGGTTCTCTGTAGTTTTTTATTGCTAAAAACTTTCGTTATCACAACTGTAATTATTCCAGAGTCAAATGGTCTGCTACCATTGGTGTTTAATATTTTACTTGTTCTTCATATTTAATAGAGGTGGTTGCAAGTTATTTGTGGTATCCTGAAAATACAGGGGATATGTACTCTCTAAGAACGGTTTTCAATTTAATTTTACAAAACCAAAGCTACTGAATTACAATGAGGTTTTGCAGTGAAACAATCAAAACTCGACGCCAATATGCAACCTCGTCCCTAGGGCTTTCCCCTTAAAAATAGGTAGGGCGGGAAATGGGAAAAGCCCTGGGGTCGAGGTTGACCAATATGCTATTTACCAGTTGCAAAAGCCTCTCTTTCACATTGAGGCCAAGTGCAAAACTTAGCCTCGTTTTTAACAAGGGGCTAGAGGCAACGCGGATATAGGCTATTGATGTGGAAGGCTTCAGGCCACTGTCAGGCGTATTGCGGGTTAGAAAATGGCGCGAGGTACTTTGCCAAATCACGAGCTCGCTTTTGAAGCTTAATTGAAAACCGCCCCTTTGTATTATGTTGTAGTCATGCAATGGCAACCAATTTTCTTCCTGCCCGTACTCTGAAAAGTGACTTGAACGTCCATCATTTCTTTACGAAATGCAGGATTTTTTCCAATTTTTCAACATAGATAACGAAAATATTTTAGTACATACAGAATACGTTATGGAATATGTTCTTCAAATAATTAGAGAAAGCAGTTCATGCAAGGTATTTGAATAAGTTAAAACGTAAAAATATTTTTATTACCTAGAACTTAGCTAGGATATAGAATAATATAATAACTAAAACAGAGTAAATATCGCTCATTATACAATTATTGACAAGGGCGACCACAGGTCGGGAACAAAAGAAATCTTTTACAGTTCAGCAGTTTGTTAAATATTAAAGTGGATACAACATTAGATTAATAAATGATCATTAGATTAGTAAATGATCCTACTTCGCATTTCTGGTCACCGACGATAGCCAAGTGAGCTAAAATGTAGCATGAACAGTCGTCTCATTATTTGTACGCGGTAGCAGGTCGGCCGCGGGAGACTAGAGCGGTATCTCCCCGAAGGGAAAGATGGGAAGGAGAAGACTTGTTCCCTAGTTCTCTTTCTCACCCCCCACCCCCCGCCCCCCTCCCCTGTGCAACTCTTACGCGCTTCCTTCGTTGATATTTACCAGACACAAAAGAAACTACCAAGAAAGAGTCAGAAACAGTATCACAAAATCAATGCATTTATTAACCGAGATTTTGCTTCGTTTCGAGATTTCGTCTTAGTGTAAAATCTCTGATCTATTGTGTGGCACGTTAAAAGACATCATTGCTCCTCGTTCATAAACATTTTGGGGTCTTGCAGTGCCTGGTATCAAACCGAGGACGACTGGGTACCATTCCGTTTACTAGTAAAATACTAAATCCTCAAGTTGAGTGTTTATCGGGACAATAATGAACGAGATACAGCTAATCAAATCTTCTAAGAAATATGTAGACGTCCCGTCGTACGACAAGAGCCCGGGAATCCACAAATTTTGGGGTAATTTTGAAAGTGTCTTGCTCAATTTTGGCCTGATTAACACAAAATTTGGAGATTTTGTGAAAAGCTTGATGTGCTCTTTCTGACTGTGTGGGTCTTGTGTCGAAAACCACAGTAGTACACGGACTGGTACCCAGTCCTCCTCAGATTGAGACCATATTTACAATACCCGCCATCTCTGCACGCGCTTAAGGACTGATGGGATAAAAGCCATGTCACGTGGTTTCTCAGGGGGCAAACAAGTGATGAAATCTGCCAATACAAGAAATCGCGATCGAGTTTGTTTATTCTAAACAAATGAAAATGAAGAACTTCTTATCTTGAAGACGCTGATCATTAGCTTCATGCACACCAAATATTTTCGTCACATCTCACATTTTTGGCCAAAAATCTATATCCATAAGGCTCTTCAAAAGGGTGGAGTCTTGTATAGACTATCATCCCTAGAGAAGGTGGGTCCTTATCGAGTACACTTGTTTTGACCACTTCATTTTAAAAAACAAAATGGCTATGACCTTCTTACAAAGTTACTTTTCAAATCAAACCCAGGTCTAATGTATCTAAAAATAGAAAGAGAATGGATAACACATTGGAATGTAAGAAAATTTATTACCAGCTTTAAGTGGAAATATATTAAAAGTAGAGGTTAAAATATATTAAAAGTAAAGATTTTGATAAATTTGCAATAAGCACTTTAAGAAATAGCCTTTATCGTATTCACATTATTAAAGATATAACTATTTCAACTGTACAATAACAATGTAATGCCTTGCTTGATTTGATCCTCCTTGCTTTGATACTACATCACTTTTGCCAAAACATGAGGTACAACTCTCAAACATTACAAGAAAACAATCAAGCAAACAGACTGTTTCTTTTATGTCAATGAAACTTTAGAAAGATACTTTGCAAAAACTTCTTATGTTACATATTTACAGCCACAAAGTGTTCTGTTTCAGGAAGCATGGACTCTACAAGGAAACCTTAAAAATACTTATCTCAAAATTGGGTGAAAAGTATGCACCATTTTAAAATTGCTATCATGTTCAATAATTAATGCATATTATCTCTGAAGTCTTTCAATAAACCAAAGATAAATCATTTCAGCCACTGCTACGTAACAGGGACTCTTACATAAGCTGCCAGAGCAGAACATTGCCTTTACCATGAGCACCATTTTTCTTTCTAACACTTTATGCAGGGCGAAAGGTTTGAACCTAGGAGTCATTTCATAAGTAGGTTGAATACGATCGTCCACGTGAACATAGTCCTGAATAGGACTGTTGTTGTTGACAGTGACTGATGTTTCAACAACTTGTGTGGTAGTCATCTTCAGAGTCAAAGTGAGTTGTATCATGTCAGTTGATAGTATTAAACTCTTGTTATTGGCCTGATTGGTCAATTAAGTCTAGATGTTATTGGTCATCTATCAGTTAAGCGGTGATGTTATTGGCTATGAAGACTCGTTGTCTACTGTCACAGTTAAAAGGTCGTTTATGGTCAGTCAAATTGTCAGTTGTCCAGTCGTTCTCTCATAGTTAATTTTGCTTGATTCCGTCAATAAGTTGTTTGTACGGTCTGTTGACTACGATTCAGAGCGTTTGTTCCAATTTAGTAAACCAGCTTTTAAACTGAGTCATTGATAGTAGTCTGTAGAAAACGAAATACATGTCACAGAGTTCCAGTCACTTTAATGTTTCATCTGTATGTTTCAGTCATGATACAACTCACTTTGACTCTGAAGATGACTACTGCACAGGTTGTCGAAACATCAGTCACTGTCAACAACAACAGTCCTATTCAGGACTACGTTCACCCAGGCACTCATACTCAACCAACTTACTTTCTGTAGTATTTACATTTTATGTTGAAGATAAGATTTACAAGATGCAGTATGCATCTGATACAAAATCTCTTCTGACTAGATTAATTTTTGTCTTGCAGGAAAAAATAATTTAAGTTACCTTATAATATTTATTATAGTTAGAACAGTGCCAGATCCAGACCTGAGATAATGGGGGCGGTCATCTAGACCCTTAGATGGGGGGGGTGGGGGGGCAGTCTCCAAAAAAAGTTTTTTCAGTTCTCTGGGCCTCAGTTTGGTCTAAAATTGGGGGGGGGGGGGGG